ATACAGTGGACGCCCCTATAGCTTCTTATCAGAGATTAGGACAAACATTTGTGCTATATGACAAAATCTTCAGTATGTGACACATGTAAGATTCAAAGTATATCGGCAAACAAAGAATAAGTACTTAAATTCAGGTTCTTCTCCATCCACATTTCTGTGATTATATCTCCTCCTGCTTCTTTCCTTTGTGCTCTGACCATTTTGCCCATTCTCCACTAAATCTCCCAGGTATGCTTACCTATAAACCCGTAAAGTGCTTCATACGAAACACATACTATAATTTTGACACTTATTACTGACAATTATTTTGCAAATTAGGCTATGACATTAAAAAAAATAGTGGGGGAGGACAGCTAACACAAAGTCAAAGCACCTAGCTATGCATCAACTATTTGAAAAAAAACTTTCTGTAGTTATTGCACAGGCACGCACACATGTGTGTGTAAAATTAGAAATGGTACCTTCTCCATGACTCAGCAGACATGTGATGAATGAAATCTGTGTGAAGTACATGCAATCATGCACACAAACAGTATTAAGAAGCTTCAAAGTTTCAATCAAACAACACTATGTGCCAAGTTCTGGAGAAGACAGAAATAAGAATGAGATGAAGAAAGCAGACTGGTGGATCTAGAGAGTTTTCAGGCTCTTACTTCCTTAACCTCCTCTAAACTCTCTCCTGGTCTCTATCAACCTTAGTCTCTTTAGTAGTGTCTATGCTGGTTTCTCTTCTTTCATCCACACTCTATAAGTCAGTAGTTCTCAAAGTATGGTCTTGGAAATAACAGCATCAGCATAACCTGAGAACTTGTTCAAAATGCAAATTTCTCAGCCCCACTCAGACCTACAGAAACAGAAACTATAGTGTTGGGAACCAGAAATCTGTGTTTCTAGGTATTTCTGATGCATGCTCAAGTATGAGAAACAATCAAAGTGTTGATTTCCAAAAGTTCCATTCCTTGTGCTTTCCAGTTCTCAGTTATAGCTTCTTCTATTACCTCTACAATTGTAACTATTACTACTATTACTAGCAACAACTGTCATTTACTAAGCATTTATAAACTAGGCATTGTGCTAATCACTGTGCACATGCTATCTTAATCTCCACAACAATTCTTTAAAGTATTATTAACCACATAGTTCAGAAGAAATTTAGTCTTAGAGATGTTAGATAACTTGCCCAAGGTCACCCATCCCAACCGGTAAGTGGTATAACAGAGATTCGACCTCAGGTTTATTCTGACTCCAAAGTCCATAGTGTTAACCACTATACTAACTCCTAGAATGGTACTACTTCCATAGCCTTGGAGGCTTCACTTACAATTATTTCTAAACTGTCTTTGGAGTAGAATTTCCAATTATCTAGTTCATCTCTCTAAACTCCAAAAAGAGACCTCAAAATTAACACGCCATCCTTTCTTCTCTCCACTGGAAACCTGTTCCTCCTCTTGTATTTTCTAATTTAATGTCACCATAATCACCACTTACTCAAGCTAGACAAATCTTCTTTGACTTCCTACTCTCACTTCTAGCTGGTCATAATATTTAGAGGTTGTAATATCTAAAATATCTCTACAATCCATCCATTCCCACTATCCTTCTTCAGGCTCCCAGCATCTCTTACCTACATCCTAACTGGTCTCCCTGCCTCTCTACTCTAATGTAATCTGCAAATGAACTGTCAGTTAACTTTCTGAT